ATGATAATATCATAATGTTTAACTAGGTAGTGGCGCTAGTCCTAACCTAACCTAACCTAACACTCGTAAATTATTATTCACTGCAACCAACACACTTGCACGCAATATTGTTTAAGACGTCTTAATCGATGTACGCATACAAATAATGACAATTATTATTGGCACGTCTGATAGATTTCGCGCTATTTGTCCGATCATAAAATTATTATTACTGGCTGCCGAATAATATTATAATATTATTATGACATTATTATTATTATATCCGATGCTTCTGTGGTCTGCCATTGCAGTTATTATACCCATCGCGTTATAATAACAATATGAGCGATTAATCATGTTAAATATTGGATAATCGGCATCGTGCGGGTTTCCGTGTGCCGTGCGTGCGTTTAATAAGTCATATAGCAACACACATCGATTGCTCAACTTTGACACTAATTTACGTGCCGCGTTCGGAAGGTGACGTAATTTATTACTAAACAGGACAACTTCCTGAATATAATAAATCCCGAGTGTAAATAAATATATATATATATATATATAGGTATATGTAATATATTACGCGGTTGTAGTTTTAAGGTCAAAGTCGGTCTTTACCTGCTGCTGCTGTTGTTGTTTACAGGCCATTGACATTTGCCATGGCCCCTGCAGGCTCTAACCACAACAGCAGCTGTGTCGTATTAACTATACCTACTCATTAACATATTATTATTAWATAGCTCGAAACACTTTTTGATCTCGACATTACCGAGGAGCCCAGGAGTGTTTTTCGAATGTCTCACATCATATACCTAGTTTACGTATGTATATTTTTTTACACGATATGGGTGTACAAGGAAATTATGAAAAGTCACAGATATCGCCGTAATATTGTAATCGTCTGTTTCGCCGTACCTACTGGTAGACCGAGTCACCAAAATGTCCGTTTAATAATTARTATATTATACAAGTAGGTTACCCAACTTGAAATACTTTTCCATATTACGATACATTTTAATATTCCTCGTTCGATTGTAAATCCGCWAATTCATTATTATTTCATTAGGTTTATAATCATAATTATTACGAGTAACGATAAAATTTAAAAGCAATTAAATTGTGTTCCCGGAAAATATTACAAGGCAACACTTGTACTTGGAGTGATAATCGATGTAGACACCGTAATATATTATAATATTATAGTATAACTAAATATTTCTCAAACTATTTGACATCTATAATATATTATAATAATAGTGGTTTTCTAAAAATGTTCGCAGAATTATGTTTTGATGACGTTTCAAAATAAATGTATATTTTTTTTTT